GCAAACCGAGCACAAAGCATAAGGGGGTTCCCAAACCAATGCCAGCATTCAAGAAACGAAGTTGAAATGAATAAGATCCTAACCCATCTTCAACCTTTCTTCCTTGAAGTAATTTTTGAGTTCAAAAGTCCACCAATCAATCTGTTGTATGTTGTGAGATCAGGTATAAAATCCTTGTCTAACATCTCATCTACCAGAATCTGGCCCTCCTTTCTCTTTCTTTCTCTTGTAAAACCAGATACCAGAACCCTGTACGTCAGGCCATCTGGTTCCAAACCCTTGCTTTGCGCCAACAACCTCAATTTGTTCGCTTCCACAGTCTTCCCCATATCAGAAAGATCCTCAAGCAAACAATTGAATGTCACAATGTCCGGTACAATACCTTCTTTAAGCATATTTTCCATCAAAGCAAGTGCTTCTTCCCTTTTCTTTTGCTTCCTCAAACCTTCCACCAAAGTAGTACAAGCAATCAAGCTTGGCAAATTCCCTCTCTTCCACAGATCAGTAACAACATCAAGTGCTCTATAAGAATTGCCTGAACCGCACAAAGCTTCCACAAGCCCAAAATAATCGTACTTCTCAGGCAACACTCTCTTACTTGAAAAACCAATCAGCAATTCACATGCCTCAGCCACTTTACCTTCCCTACAGAGACCATCAACCAGAATCTCACAAGTAGCACTCGACAACTGGCACCCCAGTTCGATCATCTCGTAAGCCATTGCAATCGCATCCTCAAACTTCCTCTCCCGAAAAAACCCCTTGATCAAAGTATTGAAACTGACCACATCGGGGCTGCAACCCTTCTCCTTCATCTCCTTAAACAATTCCAAAGCCAATCCAAACTGTAAATTTCTACAATAACTACTAATCAAGATATTAAAGGTGATCACATTAGGCTTGACTCTGTTCCTTATCATTCTATCATAGAAAGCCAAAGCCCTGGCATGTTCACCCCATTTCACAAATCCATGAATCAAAGCATTATAACTCACCACACTCGGCTTACCATCAATCATCTTCTCCATACTCTCAAAAGCAATCATTGCTTCCTCCAGTTTCCGAGCTCTGCAATAAGCCTCGACTGAGAATTGAAAGATTGACTCCGTCCTGGGGCATGAGAAAATTCCATCAGAGCAAGGGCAAGGGTTTGAGGCCATGAACTGGAGAAGCAAATTGAGTTGCTCGAAACGGCTTGAAATAGCGAGAGTGCGAGCCATCCACTCAAATGTTGAGTGGTCATGGCGATAGGAGTCGATCGTGGAGGCCCAACTGAAGATATGAAAGTCGTAGAGGGTCAAATTAGGGTTTGGGTGGAGTTTGGACTTGAGGAAGTGGAGGAGACTCTTTGGTGTGAGAGGGAAAGAGAGTTTGGACTTAAGAAAGTTTATCAGATTATCATGATTGGTTGTAGAGAGAGTCAAGGTTGGTAATGGAGATGGAGAGGGCAGCTTGAGGTCTGAGAGAAGAGAGGGAGGTGGTGAAGAAAATGTTTGAAGAGGTCTTAGAGTGGGTTTTACAATTTGAGGGAGATTCTTTGACGGTGGCTTTACCTGACAGTTGACAAATAGAAACCATTAGGGAAATTACAAGGAAGAAATTCACCTGAGATTGGTAATACAACTCAAGCAAATGAGATCCAATATCAATCAAATGCCAAACTGGACCTTACTAATGGATTAAGCTGGCTGTCCATGTGATTTGGTGAATGGGAAATTATTGCTACTATATTCATTGCCACGAAGCTACTAACCAAAGTATGATTATAAGATGTTCTCTCATTTTGGTTTCCAAAGCACAATATGAGAAACTCCTGGAACTAATTTTGACATCACCAGAACCCAACTTATGATTTTATAATTTTATTCCAAAACATTCATCATCCTCAACAAAATGACAAGAACAAGATTAAGTGACCTGCATCAATGTCAAAAGAAAAGGCTATGAAGGAAATAAAAGAAATTAATAGACTACAATAACTTTTCTCAAATCAAATTCCCTATTTTACAAAAACCAAGCGCAATAGGGGACAGGAGGGGCTTTGAAGCAGTTCCTTCCATTCCTCCACACCACACCCCCCCCCCCCCCCAATCTTTGGAGAAAATGTTTTGTGATCCTTGAAGGGATCTAAATTTTTTTTTTAAATTTTCCTTCCTTTTCTTTTGTCTTTGTACTATTCAAACAAGGAAAGATTTCATTTCCTCAAGTTACCAAAAGCAGCGAGTATAAAACTATTTGGATCCAATAACAGAGAAAGTGAAGTAAAATAATTCAGAATGCACAGTAAATCAATCAGAGTTTGAAGCTAACCAAATAATATGTTCGGCACCAAGAACATAAGACGTAACACACCAATGCATGCTTCTTAAGGATGTCAAGACAGAATGCATAGTTTTCTTAAGGATGTCAAGAAAGAATGTACCCGGGTGCTACCATCCTTTGTGTGCGCATCATCTAGAGACCGTGATGTAGCAGAAAAGGCTTCATGAAAGGCTGAAGAAGAAGAAGAAGAGCTCAAAAGCCTATGGTTCTCTTGAGCGTGAGCAGCAATGGATGGAGTTATGCGCTTAATCAACAACATAGATGATGATGTGGACATGTCTTCATTCAGAGCTTGAAACTGAAAACAAGAACCCCACCATCATAACCCTCAAATAATATTCAAATAACTTCTAGTGTAATCTATGCTGTCCAAGGAAATGTCATTATAACCAGATGAGGGCACGAGGATAGACTTATTGAGAGAAAAGGGGTGGAGATTTTGTCATTGTTTGACAATGGGTTTACCACCTTTCATGCAACATATAGAGTTGAACAAAATACCAGTTCACATCAATAATCAAAAGGTGATCACGTCAAAAGGGTAATGGTGATACATTGCTTTCCACATCATAGAACATCCCTTACAATGTTATTTTCATACGGATTATATTCAACGCATTTTCATGTTTACGAAGTCGAAACGTTCTCAACAGGAAAAGAACAAAACAAATCAACACATCTACTTCAACACCAAGTCAGCCATTTCCCATCATTTGGACATGTGAACCACGCAACTAATACTACCGTCCTTTAAATATAAAGTGGCGGTGGTGTTCAAAGGTCCGTTAATTTAAATTCCAATCTGAGCTGTCGGAGAAATCCAACGAAAGGGACAACCCTCCTCCTTCACATAAATTGAGTGAAACATTATGACAAACACAAGGTGTGCAAGTACTTACAAGACACCGAATCGTCTATAAACTTACCAGGTTAGCTTGTTGGCAAGACCAACCCACATGAGCTATGACCCAGAAGTGACAAGATATAGAATAACGAAGAACATAATCCAGTGACTCCACAACACATGATCGAACCATCGGCCCCTCACATTGCCCTGTGAAATGCGTGAGAGAGAGAGCGAACAATGACCTGCTAAGACCGTGAAGAAGAAAGCGGAAGGGGGATTCTACTAGTCCTTGAGACTTGAGCTCGAGCTCCAGCTGCAGCGACGGAGCGAGAGAGACAGAGAGAGAGAGAGGGGAGAGAAACTCGAGCTGAGCTTTTGCGACGGGCTTCGCTTTTTCTAAGGACGGCCCTTTAAATGTTTCAAGAGGGGCCGCACAAATTTGACAGCAGTACTTATCTAGCTCTTGCGACGCTTTGGATGTGCTCATCCTTGGGCCAGGTTTGGTCAGGTTTGGTCAGGTTTGGGGCGGGTCGAAAATCGTCCGATCAAATTGACAAATTTAATTTGCCTTGACCAATTTTCATACAGTATAAATCTACCGACACATTCCCATCCTGACCCATGCCCAATACATACCCGACCCGATTGGAACGAGAGAGCCACAGAGAGAGGGAGAGAAACTTGAGCTGAGCTTTTGCGATGGGCTTCGCTTTTTTAAGGATGGCCCCTTAAATGTTTCAAGAAGGGCCGCACAAATTTGACAACAATACTTATCTAGCTCTAGCGATGGCTACTACGCCCATCGCTAGAAGCTTTGGATGTGCCCATCCTTGGGGTCAGGTTCGGGTTAGGTCGAAATGGTCTAACCCAAATTGACTCATTTAATTTAGTTTGATCCATTTTCATACGATACAAATCTAGTGACACATACCCGATCCCAATCCATATTGCTAATACTCTTTTATATTTAACACAATCTAGAAAAACTCGTACAGAAACTGAGGTGAGAACGCGAGATCGAGTGAAGGTGAGAGAAAGTGAAAAGAGAGTTATAGTGGCGGGTTGGGTCTAAGTAAGTTATTTTAACACCTATTTTATTTTAGGTTTTACTATTCTAAGTCCATTTATGACCCATTTACTTGAATATAATTAATCCATATAATAACTTTATCCATTATATATGGGTTAAAAAATAGATCTATGACCCATTTTGACAGGTCAAATTCGAACCCAGATCTTGACAGAGAAGGAGCACGCTTACCATTTGAGTAATCCTTAACGGTGCATTTGTATAACGGAAAGTGTATGATTTGAAAAATATATTCCTAAAAGCGATCGCTTGTATCGCTTGAAATAATTAGTCAATAAAAAATATTTTCATTATCAGTAATAATTTTTGTCTAAACATTTTCGTAGACGATGGATATTTTTCGTTTATTCATTTTTATAAAAATATTTTCTGAATCAATCATTTTTCACGATACAAACGTAGCCTAGATCAAGTATGCATTTCGTATTTGGTGATCATCAACAAAACTTAGAGTTTGGTCTTACATTATTGACTTCTCCGACCAAAACTATGGATTCGTCCTGTTGTACTCGGGGAGATCATACTCCATTTCCTTTCTCTTCTCTTTCCCGCCTAACTAGGAACTCAGCACAACTGATAGTTACAGCCTCAGAAAGCCAATTGTCGGCTCCAACTTGTTGAACACATGGAAATGAGATTGGTTCAGAAGTTGAACCAACAATTAGACAAAAATCCCACCAAACCATACTTGCAATCTCCCCAATCCCCACGTCCCTCCTCTTTAAAAACCCCCCACCAAGCCATTGCTCAAACACGCCCGCACCTCTTCACTTGAGATTCATAGCTTCAATTTGCTAGCCGATTGATTCTCCGATGGCGAACTATCATAGGCTCGCGCATCTTTCGGCATTGTTCGTCCTTGCTTTGTCTTTGACGATCGGCGAGAACCCGGTCGAAGCTCGCCGACTTATGGAGGCGACCTTGCCCGAAGTGCCCGAACTGCCTAAGCCAGGATTGCCTCACCTTCCCGACATCCCGAGCTTGCCAAAGCCCGAATTGCCATCACTGCCGAAAGTCGAATTGCCGCCACTTCCCGAACTGCCAAAGCCTGAACATCCAACAATACCTAAGCCAGAGTTGCCGAAAGTACCCGAATTGCCATCACTGCCAAAAGTTGAATTGCCGCCACTTCCTGAACTGCCAAAGCCTGAATTTCCAACAATACCAAAACCGGAGTTGCCGGAAGTACCCGAATTGCCTCATCTTCCTGATTTCCCTAAGCCAACATTGCCTTTCGTTCCCACAGTGCCAGAGGACAAATCTGTGGCTGCTACTAGTCCGTGAACCGCTGTGATGTGGCGATGGAGTAGCGATACAATGTGATGCAATATAGTATTTTATTACTTCTATTTCAATGGTCTGAACATGCCTCAGAACATGATTTATTAGTATGACTGTTTGTGACGTGAACTGTGGAACTCGTTCATAGTTTGTGATGCCTTGTGTAACTTTGCTTTTAGAGTAAGCTATAATTGCTCTTTTTCAATATAGCTACTGCACTTGCCCATGTTTTATAGGAGTTTTATATTCCATAATAGAAGATTTTATGTTTACTAAAACTCCTTATCTACTTTTGTTCACATTTAACTTATATGGAAGTTTAACATTTTAGAGTTATAACAGTAATAATAATCATTCGATCTAATAATGGAAGAAAAAATCAGCAAAAAGAATGTGTCTTTTATTATATGATGGAATGAGATAGATTATTTGTCTTACATACAAATTATAAATTCACTTCCTACTCATCAAACATCTGACATATCATATTTTACTAAAATTGAATTTATCATAGATTACTTTTCCTTTTAATTTTTTTGGTCGATCTTTTCCTTTTAATTCGGCACAATTATTTTGTCATTTTTCAAGCAATCATCATTCTTTAGTTAAGTAAAATTAACTCTAATGTTGGTACTTTGTATTTGATTGAACAAAAGTAATTTTGCGCTCTATGTTATTGTATTGATGCATGTTACTTATTATTTATGTTTTCTATCAAATAGAATATTATGTATATTATAGTCAATTTTACTGTTATAAAATCTTTTTTTTTCCATTCTTGAATATTGTTTCGCATATTCAATCAAATACAATTTTCTTCCACTTCTTTTGTCTTTGTAATATTCAAACAAGGAAAGTTTGCATTCCTCAAGTCACCAAAAGCAGTGAGTATAAAACTATTTGGATCCAATAGCAGAGAAAGTGAAGTAAAATAATTCAGAATGCACAGTAAATCAATCAGAGTTTGACGCTAACCAAATTATATGTTTTGGCACCAAGAACATAAGACGAAACACACCAATGCATGTTTCTTGAGGATGTCAAGAAAGAATGCATAGTTTTCTTAAGGACGTCAAGAAAGGATGTACCCGTGTGCTACCATCCTTTGTGTGCGCATCATCTAGAGACCGTGATGTAGCAGAAAAGGCTTCATGAAACGCTGAAGAAGAAGAAGAAGAGCTCAGAAGCATATGGTTCTCTTGAGCGTGAGCAGCAAAGGATGGAGTTATGCGCTTAATCAACGACATAGATGACGATACGGATGTGTCTTCATTCAGAGCTTGAAACTGAAAACATCTACTTCTAGTGTAATCTATCCTGTTTAAGGAACCCTGAAATGCCAGTGCAACCAGATGAGAGCACGAGGATAGACTTATGGAGAGAAAAGGGGTGGAGATTTTGTCATTGTTTGACAACGGGTTTACCACCTTTCATGCAACATAAGAGTTGAACAAAATACCAGTTCACATCAATAATCAAACGGTGATGGTGATGCACTACTTTCCACATCATAGAACATCCCTTACAATATTCACGAAATTTTTTATCTTCATCACATTTTCACGTTTACGAAGTAGAAACGTTCTCAACAGGAAAAGAACAATTCAACACATCTACTTCAAACACCAAGTCAGCCATTTGCCATCATTCGGACATGCTAACCATGCAACTAACACTACCGTCCTTTGAATATAAAGCGGCGGCGGTGGTCAAAGGGCTGTTAAATTTAAATTTCAACCTTAGCGCTCGGAGAAATCCAATGTAAGGGACAACCATCTTCCTTCGCATGAATTAAGTGAAACATTACGACAAACGCAAGGTGTGCAAGTACTTACAAGACACAGAATCGTCTATAACCTCGCCGGGTTGGCTTATTGGCAAGACGCCACATGAACTATGCCCCAAAAGAAGGCCGAAGGGGGATTCTTGGTCTAAACACTGTCGTCCTTGTGCTCGAGCTAGAGCTGGAGCGAGAGAGACAGAGAGAGGGAGAGAAACTCGAGCTGAGCTTTTGCGATGGGGCTTCACTTTTTTTTTAAGGGATTAGTGCATTGAAAATCCTAAAACTTGTCATCAAAGTGCAACTGAATCCTAAAACTTTCAAAAAATGCAATTAAGTCCTAAAACTTATCACAAAGTACAATTGAGTCTTAAAACTTTCAAAAAGTGCAATCAACTCCTAAAACTTGTCAAGTTGGTCCAACTAAGTTCTTTTTTTTATTACACTTTTTAAAAGTTTTATGACTCAATTGGACTTTTGCAACAAGTTTTAGGACTCGATTGCACTTTTTAAAAGTTTTAGGATTTGATTGCACTTTTTGAAAATTTTAGAACTCAATTGCACTTTCATGACAAGTTTTAGGACTTCTAATGCGCTTATCCCTTTTTTTAATTTCAGGTTGGGCTGTCACATGAAATTTTCAAGAAGAAGGGCTGCACAAATTTAGTGGCGGCTACTGTGCCTGTCGCGAGAAGCTTTGGATGTGCTCATCCGCGGGTCGGGCTCGGGTCGAAAATGGTCTTACCGAAATTGACTTATATAACTCGTTTTGAACCATTTCCGTGCAATATAAATCTAATGACTTATATCCGACTCGACCCATACCCAACACATATCTGACCTCGACCCATATTGTTAAAACACTTCTGTATTTAACCAAATTTAGGAAAACTCATACCGAAACTGAAGTGAAAGCGCGGAGTGAGCAAGCGCGAGATCGAGTGAAGGTGAGAGAAAGTGAAAAAAGAGTCATAAAAGCGAATTGGGTTTAATTAAGTTGTGAACCCATTTAAGAGCCATTTTATTTTGGGCTTTACCATTCGAAACCCACTTTTGACCCATTCACATAATATAATTGATCCATATAACAACTCAGTTCATCGAATATATGTTAAAAAATGGGCCTATGACCCATTTTGACAAGTCTAATTCAAACCCAGACCTTGACGGAGAAGGAACACGCTTACCATTTAAGTAATCCTTAAGGGTGCATTTGTTTCGCGGAAAGTGTATGATTTGGACAATATTTTCCTAAAAAGGATTGCCTATAAATAATTGTTCAATGAAAAACGTTTTCATTATCGATAATAATTTATGTCTTAATATTTTTATGGACGATGAAAATATTTTTTTGTTCATTCAATTTTGTAAGAGATAAAAGTGACTATTTTTAGGAAAATATTTTCTAAATCAATCATTTTTCACGAGACAGATGAAACCTAAATCAGGTATACATTTCGTATTCGATGATCATCGACAAAACTTAGAGTTTGGTCTTACATTATTGGCTTCTCCGACCAAAACTATGGACTCGTCCTGTTGTACATAGGGAGATCATACACCATTTCCTTTCTCTTCTCTTTCCCGCCTAACTCGGAACTCCAGCACAACTGATAGTTACAACCTTAGAAAGCCAATTATCGGCTCTAACTTCTTGTTGAACACATGGAAATGAGATTGGTTTAGAAGTTGAACCAACACTTGGCCAAAAATCCCACCAAACCAGACTTGCAATTTCCCCAATCCCCACGTCCCTCCTCTTTAAAACCCCCCCCACCAAGCCATTGCTCAAACACGCCTGCACCTCTTCACTTGAGATTCATAGCTTCAATTTGCTAGCCGATTGATTCTCTGATGGCGAACTATCATAGGCTCGCGCATCTTTCGGCATTGTTCGTCCTTGCTTTGTCTTTGACGATCGGCGAGAACCCGGTCGAAGCTCGCCGACTTATGGAGGCGACCTTGCCCGAAGTGCCCGAACTGCCTAAGCCAGGATTGCCTCACCTTCCCGACATCCCGAGCATGCCAAAGCCCGAATTGCCATCACTGCCGAAAGTCGAATTGCCGCCACTTCCCGAACTGCCAAAGCCTGAACATCCAACAATACCTAAGCCAGAGTTGCCGAAAGTACCTGAATTGCCATCACTGCCAAAAGTCGAATTGCCGCCACTTCCTGAACTGCCAAAGCCTGAATTTCCAACAATACCTAAGCCGGAGTTGCCGGAAGTACCCGAATTGCCTCATCTTCCTGATTTCCCTAAGCCAACATTGCCTTTCGTTCCCACGGTGCCAGAGGACAAATCTGTGGCTGCTACTAGTCCGTGAACCACCGTGATGTGATGATGGAGTAGTGATACAATATGATGCCATATAGTATTTTATTACTTCTATTTCAATGGTCTGAGCATGCCTCAGAACATGATTTATATAATTATGACAGTTTGTGATGTGAACTATGGAACTCGTTAATGTTTGTGATGTCCTGTGTAACTTTCTTTGTACAGAGTAAGCTATAATTACTCTTTTTAATATAGCTACTGCACTTGCCCATGTTTTATAGGAGTTTTATATTCCAAAATGGAAGATTTTATGTTTACTAAAACTCCTTATCTACTTTTTTCACATTTAACTTATATGGAAATTTAACACTTTAGATTTATAACAGTAACGATAACCATTCAATCTAACAATCGAAGAAAAAATCAGTAAAAAAATAATGTGTCTTTTATTTATGATGGAAGGAGATAGGTTCATTTGTCTTATATACAAATTATAAATTCACTTCATACTCATCAAACATCTGAAATATCTTATATTATTAAAATTGAATTTATCATAGATTACTTTTAATCTGGCACAACTATTTTGTCATATTTCAAGCAATCATCATTCTTTAGTTAAGTAAAATTAACTCTAATGTTTGTACGTTACTACATTTTGTATTTGATTGAACCAAATTAATTTTGCACTCTATGTTATAGTATAGATGCATGTTAATTATTATATATGTTTTCTATCAAATAGTATCTTGTGTATATTATAGTCAACTTTACTGTTATGAAATATTTTTTTATTCCATTCTTGAATATTGTTTCGCATATTCTCAATCTATTCTGCTACAAATTCCATGTCAAGTGAAATAGTCGATTTCTCTCTCTATTGTGTAGATATATTTGCATATTTGTTCTTTATGTCACATAACAAGTCGTGTTTGACGGAATCAATTTTACCTAAAGTTTATAAGCATAAACATCTTTTCATTATCATGAAATTAATTATACTACTATTATTTATAATATTCAAAATATATGATATTTTTTACTATGTTGACATTCTAAATATTCTTCTCTCAAAATATTCTTGAAAAAATAAAAAGAATTTTCTATATACGTAGTCTACTTCACCACACGGACAAATATCACCTGAATATTTGTATTTAGATTGAGATTCTAAGAGACTTTACTTTAAGTTTTGAAATTTCTTGAAAAAATTATTATCATTCTCTTTGGAAAAGAAAAGAATCTGAGCATTAAATTGAATGCATTACATGTTTAAAAGTGTATTGGGTTATAATTTTAAGGATTTTTCTTTAAATTTTTCTTTTCTTGAATAAACCTAAAAATTCGATTTGGATAAGAAACGAATATTTTTGATGAAATTGAATGCTTTTAATATCCAGAAGCATCTATAATATATTAGACCAGCTTTCAAACCCGTGTGCTATAGATACATCTATAGTTAATGCTCTACTGTGTACGAAAATATGATAGATTAATACCACAAAAAATCCAAAATAGGTACACTTGTGACAAATTTATCCCAAACTAATTTTTGATCACCAAAAATCCAAACTGATAAACCTGTGACAAAAATGCACCAAACTAATTTTTTTGACTACCAGGAACCCAAAACTGGTAAATTTTTGATAAATTTACACTCCGTTAGTTTCCTTTAAATTGGATTAATACATAAAAAAATCACAAACTGGTACACCTGTGACAAACAGAGGATAAAACCCAAAATTGATACATCCGTCAACTGTTGCGTGTCATTTAACAAAATAATTTAATAGTAAAATTTAACGGAAACTAACATACGGTAAATTTGTCACAAGTATACCAGTTTAGGGTTTTTGGTGGTCAAAAAACTAATTTTGGATAAATTTGTCATAGGTGTACCGGTTTGAGATTTTTCGTGGTATTAACCCAAATATGATTATATTTTTTATATTTGTTGCAACTTCTATTGTAGTATTAAGTGGGTTATTGAATGTTTTTTTATCTTTTATTTGTTCATCAATCACGTACACTACTATTCAGAGAACATACTATAAAATTCCTTAATAATTAAAAAAAAAACCTTGCAAGGTCGGCTATTATATTATCATGTGAGATGGATTATATAAAAGATAATTTCAACTCATAAGTTCTTAATCGTTTTTGCTAATTCCTCTGAAATCGAAATCCCTCACCATTCCTTATATCTTTGTGTATTGTTGCCGAATTTTTAAGCATAGTTAACTTTTGAAGCCACTTATAAAAAGAGTTTGTGGCAAAAAAAAGAAAGAAAAAGAATCAATTGCTTTTCGAGATATTGATAAGAAGGATGATCCGTACATAATATATAGATTATTAGCTAGTCTCATTTTTGACATTTCGGATGTAAATTTATATTTTGAGATGTAGTCATTTTTCTAATCTAATTGGGAGTGATAATAACCGAATATCCACTCAATTGCAAGTCAAGATCAAATAAAGAAAAGAAAAATCAATTTCTCATAAATTGATTTTGCACCTAAGACCCCTTTCTTAGGAGAGAAAAAGGAAATTAAATGCACATAAAGACCAGAATAAACAGACCCAAAAAAAACGGTGAAATAATGGTAGTTATACAAAAAAAATTGAAATTTAAGTGACAATCATCTTTAACTCTAGCATGCGAAAAGAGAAAATGACAAGTATTGAGTGCACGTGAATGGAAAACTTAGAGAAGGTTAATAAATTTATTAAGTGCCTTTAATAGTTCTAGACTAGTTTTAGATAAGCATACATTTCATGTCCAATGATCACCGACAAAACTGAGAATTTTTCCTTAAATTATTGAATTGGCCGACCAAAACTGTGGACTCGTCCTGTTGTACTTAGTGAGAGATCATATACCATTTCCTTTCTTTTCTCTTCCCGCCTAACTAGGAAATCCAGCACAAGAGATAGTTACAACCTTAGAAAGCCAATTATCGTCTCTATCTTGTTGTTGAACATATATGGAAATGAGAATGGTTTAGAAGTTGAACCAACACTTGGACAAAATTCCCACCAAACCATACTTGCAATCTCCCCAATCCTCACGTCCCTCCTCTTGAAAAACCCCCCCACCAAGCCATTGCCCAAACACACCTGCACCTCTTCACTTGAGATTCATAGCTTCTTCACTCGAAAGTCCTTCAATTTGCTAGCTGATTGATTTCTCCGATGGCGAAGTATCACGGACTCGCGCATCTTTTAGCATTGTTCGTCCTTGCTCTGTCTTTGACGATCGGCGAGAACCCGGTCGGAGCTTGTCACGCCCCGAACCCCAACGGGCTCGCGACACCCCTCGATGGTCAATCATTGAACACGACGTCCCGGGGCGCGTCGCCGACCCAAGCGAAACACCCAACGATAAAGGCAAGCGAGGCGAATTTAAAACAACCAGACAATAAAATATGAGGGGATAGTCAAAACAATAATTCCAAATACCTGACATCAAGGGAATAGTGGTGGGGTATCTCTTATTATCAAAAGAGGGCACACAAAATATGGGGTAACTTGACCCGTCCTCCATCCCAGAGATACCACGGTGTCGTCTCCAATCAATCACGGTCGCGAGATCTGAAAATGGTTATATAATAACCGTGAGAACGAGTCTCAATAAGCAACCCCTATACCCCGCATAGGCCAATGCGTGCCCAGGACAAGTCGTACATGCAATCTACCCGATTACATATATATAATTCACATAAATGGACTTACCTCGCCATCCAACCACATGCCACTTTTGCACATTAGTCAAATCATAATAATGCAATAATAGTCAATGAACACATCAAAATCATTCGAGCGCCATACACACGTACGTTCATCCAATTCAACCCAAACACATTTCACATGCGCATCCATCCAACTTTCACACGACCGGGTCAACACCCCGCTGGTCGGCCCTCCGATCAATCAGGGCTCTGTCCCGGGTCAACACCTCACAAGGACCTTTCAAAAATAAACTTTCACACGACCCGGGTCAACACCCCACAGGTCCTTTCTCACAACCCGGGTCAACACCCCTCAGGTTGGCAGCCCTCAGATCAAGCCGGGCTCAGTCCCGCGTAACCACGCCTCAGGACATTTCTCTCGACCCGCGTAACCACGCCTCAGGTCATTACTTGCCTTTCTAGCCACACCCGCGTAACCACGCCTCAGGTTGGCAGCCATCAGATCAAGCCGGGCTCAGTCCCCCGTAACCACGCCTCAGGACATTTTTTCCCTTTCCAATGACCCGCGTAACCTACGCCTCAGGTCTAACTCACCTTTCATAGCCCGCGTAAACACGCCTCAGGCTCAGCCCTCCGATCGATCCGGGCTTTTCTCATGCACATGCACCACAATACAAAATTCACCATGCTCTTAGTCATATAAATCAATTTCAATCACCACCCATTCACCAATGTCAATCTAGCACGCCACATCAGTCAACTCAATTCATGCTCCCGACATCGGCCCACCGACCCGACATTCAAGTCGGCACATTCAATTAATCCAATTCACCCACAGCGCCACGACAATTCGGTCGAGGCATATTTATCTCGATCAATCACTAAATCAGCCGCACAATTATCGCCACAATAATTCACCAATTAAGCACAATCGGTCTAATTAGCCAACGCCTAATTAAAGTCCTAAGCCGGTACTAAATTTCACCCTAAACAAGTCTAAAAATACCCAAAGTACTAGGTAAGGTTTAGGAAGTCACTTACTTGGTTTTGGCCCGGAGAAAATCGGCTCGGGCCTAAAATGGCCCGGGTGAACAGTCCGAACTAGGCGCGGGCACGGGCCAACGGGCGCGGTGGCCGGCCAACGCGGCACAATGGCCGGACGGCGCCCTTTAGGCGCGCGGGCGCGGTGGCCGAACAGGCGTGCCGGGGCGCACGGCAAGGCCGAACGGGCGAGGTGCAAGGTGGGCAGACAGGCGCCGGGCCACGGCCGGGCGACGCGCCTGGTCGGGACGGGCACGGTGCAGGGCGATAGGCCACGATTGGGCGGCGGGCGCGCGGGTAGTGCGCGTGGGCAACGGCTCGGCCACGACCGGGGGCCGCTCGCCGCGAGCTCGAGCACTGCCATGGGCACGCTCGGCCGAGCAGTGGTGGCCGTAAGCCGGGTGGCTCGCCGGCAAGAGCCGGGTTGCCGGAATGACGATCGGACGGCGACGGAGGCAAGCTACTTGGCGGGCAGCGAATTTTGCAGTCGGCGGGTGGGGCGAGCTCGGGCAAGGACGCCGTGAGGTAGCTAAGGCTGGCTTGGCCGTATTGACCGTATCCGGCGACGGCGGCGGCGGTGAGCTAAAGGGGGATGAAGGTCGGCCCGGGGCGGTGAGGGTGAAGGAGAGAGAGAGGGCCAGGGGTGAGGAGCGGCGGCGACGAACTCGCCGGGCGACGACAGTGGCGGCCTGGAGGCGGTGGGACGACGGCGGCGACGGCCCGAGCAGCGTAATTGGACAACGCCCGGCGCGACAGACAACGGCGGCGAGTGACACGGGACGGCGGTCTCGAGCGGCGAAGCCAGGTGCGGAGGAGAAGGAGAGACCCGGTCGGTCGGGGTGGTGGGCAGCGGACGGTGGCGGCGGTCGGGCGGTGCGACGGCGGACGGCGACGGCGGCCCGACAAGCAACGGCGGCGCTGGCGAGCGATCCCGTCAGCGAGTTGCGAGGAAGCGAGGCGGAGCGGGGAGCCCGGTCGGTCAAGGAGAGAACGACGAAGAAGAAGAAGAGAAGAAAGAAAGAAAAGGAAAAAGGAGGAGAGAGAAAGGAGAGAAGGGATAGGTGCATGGCTTAATGGGGGAGGGACGTGCACGCAAGGGGCGGGGGGGTGGGGGCGAGGACGCGGCTGAGAGAGAGAGAGAGAGAGAGAGAGAGAGAGAGATGTGCGCAGGAGGGGACGTTGCACGGGGGTGGGTGGCGCGGCGCAGAGGAGAAAGGAGAGAGAAAGAAAAAGCTAATATTTATCCTCGAGCGCGAACCAACGGACACGGTTTAAACTAAATATTATTCTAGCTGTCGCGATTCAAACCCGGGAAAAGATCTAAGCTGTCCCGAAAAATCCCAAACAATAATATAAGACAACGGGCCAAAATAAAATAACTCGAAACACACTACGAGGAGGTCTACCGGTCAAATTCGCACCCGGTCCAAAATTTCACTTTTCCACTATTCCGACAATCTCGAGGCTGGCCACAATAATATCGACACTGTCCAATTAAATTCTTCCCGAAACTCCCGAAAATCGACTGCCAAGTTTGGGGTCTAAATAACGGCCAAATTCGATCAAGTGCGATTCTAGCAAAATTTCTATTTTTAAAAACAAGAACCCAAGAGTGATCAGTTCCCGGGCGAAATTCTATTATAAGCGCACTGACGAATTACACGTTTTATAAACCCCAAAAATGGGCCAAAATCCGGAATGTCACAGAGCTCGCCGACTTCTGGAGGGGACCTTGCCCGAAGTGCCCGAATTGCCTAAGCCAGAATTGCCTCACCTTCCCGACATCTCGAGCCTGCCGAAGCCAGAATTCCCATCACTGCCGAAAGTCGAATTGCTGCCACTTCCTGAACTGCCAAAGCCTGAATTTCCAACGATACCGAAGCCGGAATTGCCAGAAGTGCCCGAATTGCCTCATCTTGTTGATTTCCCTAAGCCAACATTGCCTTTCGTTCCCACGGTGCCAGAGGACAAATCTGCGGCTGCTACTAGTCCATGAACCGCAGTGATGTGACGATGGAGTAGTGATACAATATGATGCAATATAGTATATTATTACTTCTATTTCAATGATCTGAGCATGCCTCAGAAAAGGATTTATTAGTAGGACAGTTTGTGATGTGAATTATGGAACTCGTTCATAGTTTGTGAAGTCTTGTGTAACTTTCTTTATACGGAGTAAGCTTTAATTGCTCTTTCTAATATGGGTACTGCACGTTTTATACGAGTTTTATATTCCAAAATAGAAGATTTTATGTTTACTAAAACTCCTTATCTACTTTTTTCACATTTAACTTATATGGAAATTTAACACTTTAGAGTTATAACAGTAACAATAACCATTCAATCTAATAATCGAAGAAAAAATCAACAAAAAAAAAGAATGTGTCGTTTATTATATGATGGAATGAGATAGGTTCATTTGTCCTATTTGAGGTTTTACCCCTCCGTTTGTCACAGATTTACTAATTTGTAATTTTCTGTAGTATTAATCTAACTTAAAGGAGGGTAAATTTGTCACAAGTGTACCAATTTAAAATTTTTCGTGGTAAAAAAATTAGTTTTTAGTAAATTTGTCACAAATGTACCAGTTTAGGATTTTTGATAGTAAAAAAATTAGTTCAGGATAAATTTGTTACAGGTATACCGGTTTAGGGTTTTTCGTGGTATTACCCCAAAAAAGAATCATTTGCTTTTTGAGATACTAGCAAGAAGGATGATCATACATAAAAAAAAAAAATAGATTATGACCTAGTCTCATTTTTTACATTTCGGATGTAAATTTATATGTTGAGATGTAGTCATTTTTCTTATCTAATTGGGAGTGATAATAACCGAATATCCATTCAATATCAAGTCAAGATCAAATAAAGAAAAGAAAAATCAATTTCTCATTAGTTGATTTTGCACCCAAGACCCCATTCTGAGGAGAAAAAAAAAGGAGATTAAATGCACAGAAAGACCAGAATAGCAAATATTCTACCCTCTTAAGGGTGAAAAAGGGGTAGGTATACCAAAAAAAATTGAAAAGTAAGTGACAATCATCCTTAACTCCAGCATGCGAAAAGAGAAAATGAAAAGTATTGAGTGCTCGTCAATGGATAAATAGAGAAAGAGAATGGAAAGCTTAGGCTCCGCTTGTTTTACGGAAAATGTGACGTTTCTGGGAAATGTTTTTCAAGAAGCTATTTTTCAGGAAAATGACAACATTTTCCTGTGTTCGGCTGAAACTTGAAAATGAACTAACAAATATTTTTCCGCTGTTTGGTAATTGATTTCATTTTCTCTACACAATTACCAAAAAATTCAAAATTTTTAATTATTTTTATTTTTAATTGTTGTTATATTAAAATTATTTTTATTTATTTTCTTCTTTTTCCTTATGCTTCTTCCTCGGCCGGTCGCTGGCCACGACAATAGCCGGCGACCGGTTACAGGTAAGCTCAAGCCTCACCACAGGCCAGCAATGCCTAAGCTCACTCGAGGTCGCCAGACGTCAGCGAGGCTTTGGCGACCTCCGACGAGGCTCGAGCTCACTTGTGGCTAGTTGCCAGCCGCCGCCATGGCCAGCAACCGTCCGAGGAAGAAGAAAAAAGAAAAAGAAAGAAAGGAAAAAAAATAAAAAAAAAATTAAAAACTAGAATTTAAATTTTTTTTATAAAAAACAATAAAAAAGGAAAATGTGTTAAAGAAAGTGAGGTGGAAAAAAATATATGGAAAATGTTTAGAATGTTTACTGCTAAACATTTTCCCTAGGTGTTTTTTCCATTGGCGGAAAATGTTTTCCTTGATTAGTTTATTTTTTGTGAACTGAACATCCGAAAGTTCGGGAAAACGTTTTCCTGGAAGTTGTTTTCCGTGAGACGAACAGAGCCTTAGAAAAGGTTAATAAATTTATATAATGCACTTCTGTATTTAACCAAATTTAGGAAAACTCATACCGAAACTAAAGTGAGAGCACGGAGTGAGAAAGCGCGAGATCGAGTGAAGGTGAGAGAAAGTGAAAAGAGAGTCATAAAAGCGAATTGTGTTTAATTAAGTTGTGAACTCATTTAACAGCCATATTATTTTGGGCTTTACCATTCAAAACCCACTTATGACCCATTCACATAATATAATTGACCCATATAACAACTCAGTTCATCGAATATATGTTAAAAAATGGGCCTATGACCCATTTTGACAAGTCTAATTCAAACCCAGACCTTGACGGAGAAATAACACGCTTACCATTTAAGTAATCCTTAAGGGTGCATTTGTTTCACGGAAAGTGTATGATTTGGACAATATTTTCCTAAAAACGATTGCCTATAAATAATTATTCAATGAAAAATGTTTTCATTATCGATAATAATTTATGTCTTAATATTTTTGTGGACGATGAAAATATTTTTTTGTTCATTCAATTTTGTAAGAGATAAAAGTGACTATTTTAAGAAAAATATTTTTCAAATCAATCATTTTTCACGAAACAGATGAAACCTAAATCAGGTATACATTTTGTATTCGATGATCATCGACAAAACTTAGAGTTTGGTCTTACATTATTGACTTCTCCGACCAAAACTATGGACTCGTCCTGTTGTACATAGGGAGATCATACACCATTTCCTTTCTCTTCTCTTTCCCGCCTACCTAGGAACTCCAGCACAACTGATAGTTACAACCTTAGAAAGCCAATTATCGGCTCTAACTTCTTGTTGAACACATGGAAATGAGATTGGTTTAGAAGTTGAACCAACACTTGGCCAAAAATCCCACCAAACCATACTTGCAATTTCCCCAATCCCCACGTCCCTCCTCTTTAAAACCCCCCCACCAAGCCATTGCTCAAACGCACCTGCACCTTTTCAATTGAGATCCACAGCCTCTTCACTCGAAAGTTCTTCAATTTGCTAGCCCTGATTCTCCGATGGTGAACTATCACGGGCTCGCGCATCTTTTGGCATTGTACGTCCTTGCTTTGTCTTTGACGATTGGCGAGAACCCAGTCGGAGCTCGCCAACTTTTGGAGGCGACCTTGCCCGAAGTGCCCGAACTGCCTAAGCCAGAATTGCCTCACCTTCCCGACATCCCAAGCTTGCCTAAGCCTGGATTGCCATCACTGCCGAAAGTCGAATTGCCGCCACTTCCCGAACTGCCAAAGCCTGAACATCCAACAATACCTAAGTCGGAGTTGCCGGAAGTACCCGAATTGCCATCACTACCAAAAGTCGAATTGCCTCCACTTCCCGAACTGCCAAAGCCTGAATTTCCAACAATACCTAAGCCGGAGTTGCCGGAAGTACCCGAATTGCCTCATCTTCCTGATTTCCCCAAGCCAACATTGCCTTTCGTTCCCACGGTGCCAGAGGACAAATCTGTGGCTGCTACTAGTCCGTGAACCACTGTGATGTGATGATGGAGTAGTGATACAATATGATGCCATATAGTATTTTATTACTTCTATTTCAATGGTCTGAGCATGCCTCAGAACATGATTTATTATTATGACAGTTTGTGATGTGAACTATGGAACTCGTTCATAGTTTGTGATGTCCTGTGTAACTTTCTTTGTACAGAGTAAGCTATAAAATAATTGCTCTTTTTAATATAGCTACTGCACTTGCCCATGTTTTATAGGAGTTTTATATTCCAAAATAGAAGATTTTATGTTTACTAAAACTCCTTATCTACTTTTTTCACATTTAACTTATATGGAAATTTAACACTTTAGAGTTATAACCGTAACGATAACCATTCAATCTAATAATCGAAGAAAAAATCAACAAAAAAAAAGAATGTGTCGTTTATTATATGATGGAATGAGATAGGTTCATTTGTCCTATTTGAGGTTTTACCCCTCCGTTTGTCACAGATTTACTAATTTGTAATTTTCTGTAGTATTAATCTAACTTAAAGGAGGGTAAATTTGTCACAAGTGTACCAATTTAGAATTTTTGGTGATAAAAAAATTATTTTTCAGTAAATTTGTCATAAATGTACCAGTTTAGGATTTTTGATAGTCAAAAAATTAGTTCAGGATAAATTTGTTATAGGTATACCAGTTTAGGGTTTTTCGTGGTATTACCCCAAAAAAGAATCATTTGCTTTTTGAGATACTAGCAAGAAGGATGATCATACATAAAAAAAAAAATAGATTATGACCTAGTCTCATTTTTTACATTTCGGATGTAAATTTATATGTTGAGATGTAGTCATTTGTCTTATCTAATTGGGAGTGATAATAACCGAATATCCATTCAATATCAAGTCAAGATCAAATAAAGAAAAGAAAAATCAATTTCTCATTAGTTGATTTTGCACCCAAGACCTCATTATGAGGAGGAAAAAAAAGGAGATTAAATGCACAGAAAGACCAGAATAGCAAATATTCTACCCTCTTAAGGGTGAACAAGGGGTAGGTATACAAAAAAAAAATTGAAAAGTAAGCGACAATCATCCTTAACTCCAGCATGCAAAAAGAGAAAATGAAAAGTATTGAGTGCTCGTCAATGGATAAATAGAGAAAGAGAATGGAAAGCTTATGCTCCGCTTGTTTCACGGAAAATGTGACGTTTCTGGGAAATATTTTTCAAGAAGCTATTTTTCAGGAAAATGACAACATTTTCCTGTGTTCGGCTGAAAATTGAAAATGAACTAACAAATATTTTCCATTTTTTGGTATTTGATTTCATTTTCTCTACACAATTACCAAAAAATTCAAAATTTTTAATTATTTTTATTTTTAATTGTTGTTATATTAAAATTATATGTATTTATTTTCTTATTTTTCCTTATGCTTCTTCCTCGGCCGGTTGCTGGCCACGGCAACAACCGGCGACCGGCTACAGGCAAGCTCGAGCCTCACCACAGGCCAGCAATGTCCAAGCTCGCTCGAGGTTGCCAGACGTCAGCGAGGCTTTGGCGACCTTGGGCGAGGCTCGAGCTTGCTTGTGGCCAGTTGCCAACCGCCGCCATGGCCAGCAACCATCCGAGGAAGAAGAAAAAAGAAAAAGAAAGAAAGGAAAAAAATAAAAAATAATTAAAAACTTGATTTAATTTTTTTTTATAAAAAACAATAGAAAAGGAAAATGTGTTAAAGAAAGTGAGGTGAACAAAAATATATGGAAAATGTTTAGAATGTTTACTGCTAAACATTTTCCCTAGGTGTTTTTTCCATTGGCGGAAAATGTTTTCCTTGATTAGTTTATTTTTTGCGAACTGAACATCCGAAAGTTTGGGAAA